CTAGTGTTCACAACATCCTTTAAACTTAGTCATTTTACTTATGAGGAACCAAGACTTAAAGGTTACAACTGGCTCCAAGTCACCCAGCTAGTAACCCAAGTGATGTTGATTATTTGAAATATCATTTAAATATTAATATCTTCAACATTTGTCAGTGTTTCACATAATTTTAGGAAAATTAATATAACCAGAGGCATTGTTCATATAATATAAGGTTGCCTATCTCTTTTCTAGAAATTGTTCCCATATCATTCCAAGCCTCAAAGGCTAGCAATGGAGAAGAAAAGCATGATAAGGTATTGCCTAGCTGCACTAACGTAGGGTTGAGGAAGATCCAAGGGGGATTTATATTGAGAATGTGGAATAGTAGACATAGCTATTTTTCTAAGATTTATTCCATTTTAATTCTTACAGTAATCATAATAGTAGAATACAACATATTTATTTTAGATCATAGCCCAGGAAATCTGAAAGGTACTGATGCTGCGATTCCATCTCCAGAGACTTATGTTGACATCTGAGTGAATGCTCTGCTTTGAGGTAGAAACCTCCTCTTCAATTGTTTCAGCAGCCACAACAGCCTATGAATGGCTTCCCTACTGGGCAATAAGTCATTTCTAAGATGGCATTCATTTACAATGTATTGAAGACAAGTCCAAATCAAGCAAATTTGGGGAAGAGAATAGAAGGATAGAGATGTTATGTTCTTGGCCTTATTTTAACAAAAATTCTCATGCAGATCAGAGAATAGCACAAAGGACATCTGATGTCCAAGCCAATAGATGGGTTCCCATCCTTAATACCATCTGAAATAACCTTGCTGGAAAAGATTGAAAGCTCTATAGTATTTAAAGTGTGGTAAAGAATCAAACATGTTCTTCTTACAATGTCATTGGTGCATTCCGGAGTAAAATTTATTTCCATGTGGGTAAAGCAATTATCAAAATGATTTCTTCATTAGAATTTCAACATACCCAATGTATAAGCCATTTTCTTCTTTAAAAAAGAATAAAGAAGAAATACAGGGGGTGGGAGTTGAGTTGATTGGGGTATTACCTTACCATTTTAGCAACTCATTTCAGGGGATATTAAGGCCTGAATATAGTTTCCTGGTCATTGGCCTGGGATGAAAGTAGGAAGACGGGTGTGAGGAATGTCCATGTTGGTGAAAAGAAGAAAAAAAAGAGAAGAATCACTTTTTTCCACCACTAATCTTGATCTTGTCAAAGATGATAATTCCAACAGTATTAGTAACTTCAGAATACCCTTTAGTGCCTACTCTACCGACTCCAAACCAGGTATTTTTATGCCTACACTTATTTAATTCTCATACCCATTTAGTCCTCAAAACAACTGATGGAGTTTGGATGTGTTGTCCCCTCCAAAATTTATGTGGAATTTTGATCCCCAATGTGGCAGTGTTGGAAAGTGATTGAGTCATGAGGGTGGATTCCTCATGAATGGATTAATGCTCTCCCTGACCGGGGGGGGGAGGGGGGGGATTAATGAGTGAGTTCTCGCTCTATTAGTTCTTGAGAGAGCTGATTGTTTAAAAAGTCCCTGGCACCTCCTCTCTCTCTCTCTTTTGCTTCTCTCTCTCTGGCTTCTTCTCGCCATGTGATCTGCTTGTACCTGCCGGCTGCCTGCCACTTTCTGCCATGAG